AATGCAGAGTGGCATGATGTGAACAAAGCACCATAAATATGCAGCCAGAGTCTTAACCCTATGGGCCCTAGGCCTTTCTGGGGTATTTTTACTGCCTTTACTTTTAAGCTCATATCACAGTCATTATAAAGGCTACATACACATGCTATATCTTTTTTTTTTTCAGGACAATCTGGGCTATCCAGATTTGCCATCATTCCATGTCCTTCTATGTGCCTGTACTTTATATTAATTTTTATATCAATGAAAAAAACAAATATGTGTGACTAAATTCTTACATTTTTACATGTATCTCACCATAGCAAGTTGCAAAATGACATATTCTGCCATATATGAAGAGGGGAGACTCTCTGGAATCTGGCAATATAAGAACCATGATGTTGGGACATTCTGTCACTTCACAGTTGTCCAAAACATGTGGTTTGTGCCAGGCGGACATGATTGCCAGTATTTTTTCATTATTGCAAGAAATTCCATTGACTCATTCACAAGTCAAAAATGTGTTTTATCTGAAAAAAAAACCATGCAATATTTACATCTAAGATCATAGAAAAATAGTCAACCAAGTGCAATGATGTCCTCCAAGATAATATTTGCCACTTTGTTTGCAGTAAACAAAGTTTGTTGTTGTTTTTCAGTTTCAGCTATATATTGGGGGGACATTTTGGGCACTGGGGGGGACACATGTCCCCCTCAATGTATATGGTGACTAGGCCCTGTCAGCATGCATAATTAGGCTACAGTTGTCTGGGTGCGCAAAGGTGAAGTGGCTGGTCTTGTCATACAAAGTTTGATGGAGTGTCAACTGGACAATATGGAGATGTTTGCATCTTGAAAGCCGGACTACAAGTGTGGATAGACAGGGAGAAACACACGCAAGCCTAAGACGTGGTAAGATACGATATTCCTCACTATATGAAGTGACTGATAACAAGATCTGTATAATGGGTTGTAAAGAAATTCGTCAGGTTTTTATTTTGTAGACAATTAATCTGGATTTATAGTGTGATGGGATGACAGCACAATGATGTGTGTGGTATCCCTGGAAAGATCTGCTCCTGCCCTTTCATGTGATATATGTGGCATTTCTGTGTGACCCTGCGTTCTCGAATAATCCATCCAAGAGTAATGTGTGTGCAAAGCTGTATGAAAGCTCTGTTATACATAATTTTAGTGTAAGTTTATCATTTTTTTTCGCTGTGAAAACATTGGACTACCGACAAGTGCTTGGCCTTGTCAGAAAGCTACAATTCCGCTGTTTCAAGTGATATGCGTGGCTTCTCGCTATGACGCATGGTCGCGCAGAAAATCAATAGAGAAGAACAGGTGTGAATTTGGATGCACTATGCGTCGTTCGGGCCCATAGGGTTAAATGAACCTCCCATCTGTTGGTGCCTCTCCTCCTACATGTGTACTGTGTGTTCTGTCTCGGGCACCAAAATACCACACCGAATTTCAACATTAGGAATATACTAAACTGTCAGAGCACTGCATGCAGTGGTTGTTGCACTGTCTAAAAATAGGGTCCAAAAGAGACTTTTGTACTAAAAATAATGTATCTTAACCATGTGATTGCCAAAGCCAAATAGCCAATTGTTTAATTCAATTTTTAATTTATTGTCTTTTTTTGTAAATCAACAAAAATGCAACTGGCGGCTAAAATACGACTTTTTTGCCTCACTCCTCTTTACACAAAATACACACATATGCCATTACTCTGGGTCAGCCATAATTCAGAGCACTTGGTATAATTTGAGAATCCCATGCCTTGGTCAAGGGCCCCTGCCAAGGAGTTGAACTGGCACCTTCAAGCTGCCAGTCCACACTCCATACTTAGTCCATACAGGGACTTGAACTGACAACACTGAGCTTACCAAGCCAAGCCAAGTGTTGCTTCTGGCTGTTAGGGCTGACGCGGTAACCACAGTACTGCAATACTGTGCCATTGACAAGTCAGGCACAGGGGATATCAAGCAACCGCCACAACAGCTGTGTTCATGTTTTTTTTTGTTTTTTTTTGTGGGAGTGCTGCGAATTTACCTTGTGCTACAAATGCCAGCAGCATGACGAGCTTCTGGGCTGCGCCTCTCATTTTGTCTCATTGCCCCTCTGCGTTCTGCATTTAACAATTAACAATAATTTAATTTGTTTTAGAACTGTGTCATCTTTGTCATAAAAGCAACAATACAATTAATTACAGCCTAACAAAAAAGCTTATTTACAAAACACTAAAATCAGGATAAATTAACGAATTTGCAAAAGCAACAAAAAATGGCAGTAATAATGCATATTGCTGTTGAGCCTCCCTTTAAATTGCTGCACAGGAAATTTCTTGACTGCAACAAAGCTACTGTCTGTTCTAAGACAGACTTACAAATTTGTGAACCTGTCCTTTTAAATAAGAATTTAAACACTATACCTTTAAAGAGTCTTTTTAAGTATGAGGAGCAGACAAATTGTTGTCACAGTGTAGAATTATCCTCACTATGATGGTTTAAAACTGAAACTGGTCCTCACAAAGGTAGCAATACAAGCCAAACACACACACACACACACACACACACACGTAAATGTTTATGTGGTGTTTCCACTTGGCCTATGAATATGAGTCTGTTATCCACTCACTAAATATGCAAAGCATTTAGACCTAGCACATTCATCTGGTTAAGATTAACTGGCAGTTTTATTCTCCTCACGCAGCCTACATGTCTTCTCTTCCTGGCAAATCTGACTAAAATTTATTGTTATACTAAATACATTAGTGCAACAAACAGTGATGGAGGAAGAGACAGAAAGTGCCACGAGGGAGTAAGAAAAGCTAAGTGGAAATTAATTGTCATAAATCTTACAGGCGGGGAATGTTGTTAGTGCAATCATGTTTGATTAAATTGGAATTTTTAAACCACAGTAATAAATACAATGGGATTTGGAAACCATTACAGAATACAATGATCCAGACAAATTGGGAAAAAAAGCCTCATTAGGAGTATATTGCATTGTGTGTTACTAGGTAAGTAATTGAATGAATTAGGAGAGGAAGGGAGAAAATTAAAAAAAGGTAGAAAAAACTTCCCCAAATCCCTCCCTCATGTTGGAGAGCAGGTGGATGACTCCATGTCAGTGAAAGCCAGCGTCATTATGCACTCCTAGCCTTAGCAGTTATACTCTGCAGCTGAAAGCAGAGGCAGTGGGGTGAGATAAAAAAAGAAGTCATGTGATCTGTATTTAACTGCTTTATATTCTGAGGTGCATCTTTATTCTTTACATAACATGCCCCTCTCTCAAAGTGAGGAATGCAGGGGGAAAACATCTCTACTAACAGATGTTCATGAACAGGACCTTGAGGTGCTGCCAGGTGGAGGAAGGGGTCTGGTGTGGGGACCTCAGAATTGCATCTCTGCCCTTTGCAGATGATGTGGTTTTGTTGGCTTCATCACACCGTGACCTCCGGCATGCACTAGGATGGTTTGCAACTGAGTGTGAAGCGGTTGGGATGAGAATCAGCACCTCCAAATCTGAGGCCATGGCACTCTGCCAGAAAATGGCAGATTGCCCCCTCTGGGTTCGGAGAAAGTATCTCGGGTCTTGTTCATAAGTGAGGGTAAAATGGAGTGTGAGGTGGATAGGCAGATTGACATCTGCATTGATGTGGGCGCTGCACCGGAATGTTGTGGTGAAGAGGTAGCTGAGCAGGAAGGGAAAACTTTCGATTTACTGGTCCATCTATGTTCCAACCCTCATCTATGGTCGTGAGCTTTACGTAGTGACCAAAAGAATAAGATTGCGGATACAAGTGGCTGAAATGCGTTTCCCCTTGAGTGTATCTGGGCTCAGCCTTAGACATAGGGTGAGGAGGTCAGACATACGGGGGGAGCTTGGAGTAGAGCTGCTGAGGTGGTTGAAATGGTTTGGGTATCTAATCAGGACCCTCTTGAGCACCTCCCGTTCCAAATTCCGGGCACGTCCAACTAGTAGGAGACCCCTGAGGAGACCCAGAATACCAGGAGTGATTATATTTCTCATCTTCCCTGGGAACGCCTCAAGACCCCCCAAGAGGAGCTAGAAAGCGTTGCTAGGGAGAGGGACGTCCGGAGCACTTTGCTCAGCTTGCTGCCCTTGTGACCCAGCCCTGGAAAAGTTGATGAAAATGGCATGGATTATCACATACCACCCCCTCACATTTGATTGACTTGATAATGGATAGATGATTTCGGTGCTCTCTCCAAGCAACTCAAGACAAGACTTTTGTATAACGTTTTGTACGTAGCATGTATATAAAAATACATACATAGTCTATGGTTTTGCAAATAAGGTTTTCAGATTTGTGATTTTATTTGAGTTTAACACCCGCTCAATTTCCCTGGGGTCCATTCAAATGACCACTTGTGGATCTTGGAGACTCACAACATTGACAACCTATCAACATCACTGTACAAGTTGAGAAAAGTTAGAAGAAAAAGAGAAAAAAGGTTAACTAAGTAGCACTGCAGTTCAGACATCAGGATAAAAACACTTTAATCACCAGATGGACACTTTTTACACAAGTCTGCACTGAGTTGAAGTCAGTTTAAAGTTTGTATTGACCAGCTGGAATTGTATCAGTAGTTCTATGTTACTGCACATATCTACTTTGCATCTCCAAACTAAAACATGTTTAGGTGCTAAAAATACAGATTTGTTTTGCCTTGAACATCACTGATTTTCTTGTGTGCTTCCACGGGAACTGTAAGATCAAAGGTAACAAAATTTTATTTGGGTTAACAGGAGTTTTACTTTACACTTGCCTTATCTGAACGGCAATGTTTAGATGTCATTTAAGAGGCTTCAATGTTTAAAAAAAAAAGAGAGAAAAAGATGTATAAAAAAGAAGAAGGACTGTCTATACAAGTTTTCATCAGGATATCAGGACATCATATCCTGATAAAAATTTTGTGATCTCCATCTGTGAGATTGGAGATCCTCTATGGGATTGAAGAGGTTAAAGAGTGCATGCATCTAACCTGCAGTCTTGCCGCGGGTTGGCAACATATCCTGGGTAGGCTCCTTCAGTGATGTTACGGCACATTTTGCTGTCCCTGTCTGAAGGCAGCAGGGTCCCGGCTCGCACCATCATACCCAAACAGTGGTCAAATGTGTTCCTCTCTTCTGGACCATCCTCCGTGAAGAAACAGTGACCCAGTGTGTCATAGCCCACCACATCCTTTACCTGCAAGGAAACAGACATGTTGAATTTTACTAATCATGGGCTGACAGTATTTCACACTAACACAAAGATTCTGTCACAGATCTAACTGGAGAAACAATTGCCCACAAAGACTGCAACTGGCTGTGAAAGCATCGAATTTTTACAGCCTAATTCGTTTTTGGACAACTATTTGTTAAATGAAACATAATTTAACATGAACGTTCTTCTACAGCTCCTTCATCCATGTTCTAAAAGTTGACTCCTTGCCAATTGACTGAGCACTGTGGGAAGGAAGACTAAGGCCTCTAGTTTCGCAGACCAGGCGAGGTGGAGGCACAGCGCACCTGCCAACTGGGTGTGGCCAGGCGGATTTTGCAAGTTTGGCACACCATGCGCGCTGGCGCAGCTACTCCTCTTTCCCACCTCCGTCCCTCCTACCTGCGCAAGTCGGAAAGAGGGAGGAGAGAAGGCGTGGAGCGGGTTTTACACTGCCGATTCACATCACACCAATCAAATGAGCCCCCCTCCTCGCCCTTAAATGCGCCGCGCAAAGGTGTAATGAGAGTTACTCAATTCGCCATGGCAGAAGAGAGCAGCAGACAGATGCTGAATATATACTCCTTATCTGATGCTGTGGCTGTTTGCGGTTGGCTGAGAGGGATGTGAACTCATTAGTTTGCAACTGTGTTAAACAAATCAGGTTGGGTTTCCATTACGCGTGCCAAACGGTGCCAATCCCCTTTGATCTGACATCAGATGTGACGGGACAGTCGATATAGAGATACATTTATGTGCTGATTGCAGATAGTTGCATTGAATAGTGGTTTTTTGGGTATTTATTGTATTGTTAATGTGCCTGATATTCTGGAAACCTGCCTGTGAGGTTTTGGTGATGTGTGCGCATTGTCTGCCGGTCAGCCAAACTTCCGCTACACCGGCTGCGCTCCGCCTGCGCTGACAGTAGACCTGGTTTCAGCTGGCGAGCTTTTAGCGCACCTTCGGCGAAGCCTTTTGGCACGAAACTGTCACTGCGCCAAGCTGGATCTGTCGACACCTCCCCCTGCTGCGCCGCCACACCCATCTCAGCGCACCTTGGTCTACCAAACTACCAAACTGAGTGCGCCTCGGGTTGCGCTGCTTGAAACTAGCTCTGCGCGGGGTTCGACACCCTGCACCACCCTGCACCGTGCCGGGAAACTAGAGGCCTAAGTCAGTACATTTACATGCACAGTTAAGTGGAGCTACGGTTATAGCTTGACCAGGCCGTTTAATTGGACTACTGTCCTTGTCACAGTATACAAGACCAAACAGTCGAGCATCGTTCAGCTGTTCTGCCATTTTTCTGAACAGGTCGCCATTCCATGTCTTCCTCCCATCCATGTATTTTAACATATTCAACTCTTTCAGCTGACACAGCATGAACCATTGGATCTTATGGTGATAATATATATTTCTGACTTTTTTTTATGTAGATCTGTTTTTTTTAAGTTATTATTATTATTATTATTAATGGTTGTATATGACTTCGTGAAGTCACTGAACCTGGCCAAGACCAAGAGCTTTTACATGTGCTGGTAGGTGGGCAGGTGGCAGGTCAGCTTTTTTGTCCTGCTTCCAATTGTTGTGCTAAGCTAACTGGCTGTAGGCTGCAGCTTCATACTGTATTTACTGTGTAGGCATTACAGTATCATCTCCTCAAACTCTCAGCAAGAAAGCAAATAAGTGTATTTCCCAAAATGTCAAACTTTTTTTGTAAGTACATTCATTGCAAATACATCATGTCAAAACAGGAAAAAAATAAACTTAAATAAAAATTCTCAACTGACCAGCAGTCCATTGGAGCTGTGGATAGTTACGCAGCGGGAGAAGGAGTGGTGGATGGATAGATCGCTGACAGTAGTTGGGGGGTTGTAGCCTCCCCTCTCATCCACATCTCCATTCATATGGAAATGGATAGGATAATGTCCCATTGTCTGCTGGCCCATGTGCTGCAGCTCCACCCCAGATATATGAACTGCCCTGAATCCCCGCTCCACCTGATAATGACAGCAGATAGATGTCAGTCACGCCTGCAGGGTGATCAGGTTATTATTTGCCCCACATAAGATAACTTAACAGTTATAACTGTAATCACTGGGCACAGCAAAAAAAGCAAGAATGGACATTGAATGTGTTGGATTGAATGTTATAAAGGCTATTTCAACAGCAGCTGTTGGTGAATGAAAACTATCAAATTAAAAGAAAGAAAGGGGGATGGAGGCAAAAGAAGGGTTACTGAAGAAAGGAGCTGCACAAAGCAGAAGTGAAAAGAGGAAAGGTGAGAGGAGTGAAAGAAAGGAAGGTGGGAACACTTAACACTTTCAATTTAGTACCTTTGGAGCCAAAAGTAACCTTTCAGACAAGTTACCCAGACCCTAGGTCTGTTTCCACCACAAACAGTACTCTCTCTCCAGCACTCACTATATTTCCTCATCACTGGTGACAGACGGAAGTCTGCACCTCGTTTATCGTCCACAGAATGAAGTCTCATTCCAACATTTTCAGAACAAAACAGAACAGGTAAGAGTGAGAGTCTCTCTCTATGGTATATTTAAAAATAGAGGGTTTGTGCATTTAGTCCTCAGGAAAGAGCAGGGGTTTAGCGTTGCCATAGCCCACAGGAACAACCCTCCACTCCACTTTTTTTCTGCAACTGAGGATTAGAATATGTGCAATTCACATAATCCGGTCAAAAATATTATATTATTAAATGCTTGAAGATTCTGCTAAACATACTAAAAGTGTATGTCATTAAAGGGGAACAATAAAAACTAATGGAGCAGTCAGAGTTGTCACACTGAAATACTACTTACTACTTCTCACCTTCAAGGCCATCAACAACCTTGCCCCTCAGTATCTTGCTGAGCTCCTTCACATTAACATACCCAGCCATACTCTCAGGTCCTCCTCCATTCAACTCACCCTCCCACCTGCTCGCTTATCCACCATGGGGTCGAGAGCCTTCAGCCGCTCGGTCCCCCACCTCTGGAACTCTCTACCACAGGACATAAAACACTCTGACTCTGTCACCTCTTTCAAATCTCGCCTCAAAACTCACCTTTTCAGACAGGCATACTCCCTTTAATCTGGACTGGAATGACCTCAGTGTTGCACTTTACTGCTGTTTTATGTATTGCGTTATGTATTTTGTCTTTTGACTGTCATGTTTTATTGATTGTTTTATTATTGTCTTTTGTACGGTGACCTTGAGTGTCCTGAAAGGCGCCTATAAATAAAATGTATTATTATTAGTAGTCATAGTTAGTCATAGTTTACTAATGTATGTAAAACTTGCCTCGGTATGAAAACTGGTTACATAAGCTTTAAAAGCAGCCACAACTCAGCCCTGAGCAAGAGTAACAGTTCTCTGTCGACCAAACAGCAGACTGCAGTGTTTCTAGCTCCACCTTTTAGTACCAGATCTGTGCGCTAGGTACCCCAACAGAGGGGTGACCAAAAATGGGGATGGTAAGGAACAGTTCCATTGGTACCATCCACAATTTTCATAAACAATTAAGACCAATTTGAGCTTGGGACATAATCGTGATCAAGACAAAGCCTAAACACTAAATAAAGTTGCTTTCCACCCTCCTCTGTTTCTATAGGGTTTGTGGACCCGTTTATAAACATGAGCGTCTCCATCTGTGTTAATTTTGACAGATATTTTAGATTTAGTCTTAGTTTTAAGACAAAAATGCTAATTAGTTTTTGTCACATTTTAGTCATTTTTATTGTTCATACTTTTTGTCCACAGAAATTCACGACATTTTAGTCAACTTTTAGTCATTATGTTTTCTATATATACATTTTAAATCTTAAAACTAATCAACCAATCAACGTGACAGGTTGTATAAAAATTTCATTTAGACATTTTTTTCTACAACTACAAATTATTTCTATACACTTAAAAACTATCGTTTCTCCAGCAGTTTTTGGCAGGTTTAAGGGGTGATTTACCAGCACACACTTACTGATCATCATTTGAAAAGCTCAAATATCTCTCTATGTATGATCTTAACAATCTTGAACAACACAAAAAACTATTCTGAGATAACAAGGATTTGTACACAGGTTCAATGTAAACTCTGACTTATCGATCTCACTGTTAAGAAGCAGAAAAATAACTTCATTAAAGTCTGAATTCTTTTTTTAATCTGCAGCATGTTAGTCTGGAGGGTTAAACTTGTGTCCTCTCACAGAGCTGGTGATTAAAACTAAACTTTCGGCTCTGTCAGAGAAAACTCTGCTGACTTCAGACTGTTTACTTGCGTCACAACTACAGTCACAGATAAACGAACCTCCTACCTGCCTGTCAGTCAGTCCAGCCTGAGAGAAGTCCTCCAGAGATCGGCTGTAAAGTCAATCGGCCAGCGGCTGCTCACTTCGCTGCTGTTCAGCAGCTAGCAAAATATCCTGGCGCAGACTATTAAATGGGGTTTACCAGCCTGTCACTTGTGGCATTTGAAGATAATTACAAGCACGGCTGTTCTGGCCTTTCAGTGTCCAACAGTCCACCACTAACATTTTCGTCATGCTTTGTCTCATCTCGTCTTGTCTCGTCAGTGAAAATTATTGTCAGGATCTATTTTTAGCTCATCATTGCCTTGTTTTTGTCGTGGAAAAACGAAGAAAAACAAAGAATTTTCGTCATTAACACTGGTCTCCATGTGTAAGAGAAAACAGTTCTTGCTATGATAGGAGGATATGTGTTTTCTTGGCTACCATAAGGCTATGGATAGATTTAGTATCCACTGAGTTATGTCAGCAGTTTCTCCACCATTTTTTGAATAAAACAGATGATATTGGGCTCCACATCGCCCTTGTGACCAGAAATCTCCTCATGTACACTAAACCCTCTGCCACTATATCTCTTTTAAGCAAATTTCATTGCTTAAATGAGAGGAGTTAATCTCCCACTTCAAGTGTTCCACCTGCAAATTAGACATTATCCCCATTAGATTTCTTAACAAGGTATTTCAGACTCTTGGCCCACAAATTCTCCCTATTATCAACTGCTCACAGAGTGACCCAGGAATAAGTCCTAAAACCCAAACGAGTTAGCATTTTTGCACTTTCGGTTTCCTTGTCAGTGGGTTTTTGAATGGGTTTCTGGTTGGACATCTGAAATAAGGTCTGTGGTTAACACAAGCTTGAGAGAGAATATTCAGTGATCATACCGTAAGGTACCTGCACTGAGGCAGGGCATTCAAAAGCAACACATACAGTGTCACAGGAAAAACAGCTTTGAAGCTAACAAGCAGTGTGCAGAACAGAACAGCATGCCTGGAAAGGATGCTGTTTCTAAGTGGGTGTGATCTACGGTAAAGCTGTGCAGAGCTGATGTATCGACAAAGACCAGAGAGACAACCAGTAAGATGCTGAACTTTAAAAGGGAAAGACTGTTTAACTGGCAAAGACTGCTGCTGCCAAATGTTTGAGTTAGCGCTACACTGTAAAATATTTGCCTGTACATTTACAGTAAATTACTGGTTACTAGTTGCCTTACTTTCACAGTAAGTTACAGTATAATTTTTACAGTAAATCATTGTGAAATGACAGCTGTATACTGTGATTTCACATAATTATGCCTGCATATTACTGTGATTTAGCAGTAAACTCTGCCCATTGCATTGCTGTGATATAACAGTACAATGCTGTAAAGTTACTGTATTTAACTATAACTTAACAGTTTATATACATTGGATTTAGCAGTATGCTCCCGTAGAATTACTGTATTTCACAGTTAAATTCCATATATTACTGTGATTTAACAGAGTACTTCTGTAAAATTACTACACTGCCAACATGAATTTCACAACAAACTTCTGAATATGGTTATCTATCACAGCTGTAGTCTTTAAGGTGATAATACTGTAATTTATGGTGAAATATTACAGTTACATATTCTAACTTTCTAGAAATAATTTGCAATGTAATGCCAACCACGGTGGTCGGAAGCCCTTTTTGAAATGGATCACTGTTATAACTCTTTAATGTCAAAACATGCATGAGCAGCTATTTTATCACTAATGTTGTTTGTTTGTTGTAAAAATATTTACTTAGATAATCATGTTTGTAGAGTAGAAGCACAATAAATGGTGATTTATTGTTAACTGTATTTGACATGCCTCCTTGTTCACTTTTGGTCACAAATGTGGTGGAATAATGACAGCAAGGTGCCCAGACTTTTACTAACAGCTGTAATACATTCATGACGAGGGTTTATTAAAAATAATTGCTTAGTTTGATAGTTCTTTAAATAAATATGGTTAATATGCTTTGTAAAAATGCAATAAATATATACATTAAATACAAAATCCATA